CTTCAGGGCTGTGGTGGGGAGGGGGTGGTGGGTGGGAGGCCATGAGACACCCCCACCATGAACCTGGAAGGCCTTGAGATGATTGCGGTGCTGGTGGTCTTGGTCCTCTTCGTCAAGGTGCTGGAGCAATTTGGCCTCTTCGAGCCTGTGTCCTTGGAAGGTAACGGGTGCGGGCGGTGGCTGCTCTGGGGCCGCAGGGGTCAGGCAGTGCGTGTCCGGAGCTGTCCCAAGGACGCTGCATCCACGGGGGAGTCCTGGGACATGGTGTCCATCTGCTGCTCGTTGGGCATAGGACGCAAGGAGAGGGGTGTCCTGCCTGCTCCGGGCAAGGTCCCAGTGTCTGGGTACGTGGGGAGGGGACGAGGGCTGGCAGGGTGTCTGCTGCATGGTGGTGGCTTTGATGTGCGCTGAGTGCTGTGGGCTGGGACTCTGTGAGTGTACAAGTAAGCATTAGGATGTTTTCCAGCACCTCTATGGGAACAAGGTGTCTCCAAGGTCTGTGGTCACCTCACCCAGAACATGAGGTGTCAGACTGAGGACCAGCCTGCAAAGCAGTCAGGCCTGGGCAGAATGGGTGCCTGCTGCGTTCCCTGCTTCTGGCTCTCCCCCGGTCACCCTGTGGCCCCTGGGCAGTGTGGGACACAGGGGGAGCTGCCTGGCTGCGGATGAGCCCTGCAAGGTGCTGAGCAGTGTGTGGGGGGCACAACTGGCAGAGCCAGGATATGCTCAGAGACCGTGTGTGGTAGGAGGGAGGTCAGGGCAGCTTGGCTGGGTACTCCCTGGATTCCAGGGGTGATGGCTGTGTGCCCTGCCCATGCCTGCAAGCACCCATCTGAAGGATGCTGCATCTTACCCAGCCCTGGCCATTACGGCGCATGCACATTGAGGAGGTGACAGGCAGTTTGCCTGGTCCACTGGTGCAGACAGGGGTATCCCTCTCTGGTCCCTCAAACCTGCTTGCAGGACATGAAAGCATGGTGAGTGGAAGCTTTTATTGCTGCTTAACTGCTCACTTTGTCCCTGTGCTCCAGCAGCAGCGCTCCTAGGTGGATCATGCCAGGAGGGAAACTGAGGCAGCAGCTGAGCTCAATACAAGGCATCCTGCCTGTGAACCCTGGGGAGTGGCACACTGAGTGTGCACAGGTTGCACCCCCCTCTGCAGTTCTGCTGATGATTTGGTGGTGCATCCCCCCTCCCTGTGCTTTTGCTTCTCTGTGCAGCTGCTCAAAGCTTTGGACCAAAGTCAGTGGCATTGATTGTGGCTGCTCTGCTGCATACTGGCTCCCACCACAATGGAGAAGAGGGAGGCAGAGAGACCCCAGCCCCTGAAGCAACCCTACTGAGAGGTGCAAGACAAGGCAGAAGCCGTCGCTTGGTCTGTGTGTCTGCTCCTTGCCTTGTTGCCAGTCCTCTCTTGTCCCCAGGAGGACTTGGTGCCACTGTGTAACATGGAGAGGCACAGCTTGCCCCTATCCCCCTCCACCCACATCCCCATGCTGGGGAGCTACGGATCCCTCTGGCCTGCCTGGAGGCTCACCCCAGCTGTGATGGTGGGAGTGGGACTCAGATGCCCTGGATTAGCAGCAATTGCTCCCATCAGCAAAAGGTGTCTGGAAGGGAGAGAAATGTGTTGCTCAAGGGGCAGAAATTGGGTGAGGTTGAGCTGAGTCCTGGACACCACAGGGGAGTCCGGCAGGTGAACAGTTGCATGTTGGGATGAGATGCTTTTGCATGGGTCACACACGTCTCCACCTTGGCTTGGAAGGCAGCAGTTTGTTCTCTGGGGAAGGTCCTGGGCAGGTCTGGGGCTGGGAAATGCTGAGTCCCCTCCGGGGGGTTATTTACCAGCCATGCCTGGGCAGCAGTGACAACACAGGGACCACAGTGTGAAACCGTACACTAATAGCTCAGGTCTGCTAATGGACACGGGCCTCACCCCCGGCTCCAGAGCCATCAATACTGCCTGCCATGCTTCCCCTGCTCCAGCTGCTGCCCTGCCCCGTTCCCACCCATCGCTGTTTCTCTGCCCAGGCTGGTGGTGTCCTGCGGATGGGCTGTGCTGGGAGGTTTTGTGCCACTGCAGTGATGGGCTGGGAACGGAGCATCTCCATAGGACCCTGGAAAAATACCTGAGCCCCGGGGAGGGGTTCAGTGGGAGCAACTTGCAGTGACTCTGTCTGCCCCTGGAGGGACCACAGAAGGGAGGGAGACAATGTGGGGGAACTGCAGCTTGGTGGGTTCCCAGACTCAGCTTGATGAGGCACCAAGCAACCCATCCTCCATTTGGAGCTGGCCCCCCTCTGAGCAAGGGTTTGGACAGGAGTGCTGGTTGTCTGTACACCCTCACCCTGTCCCCTTGGCCCCCTCAATGTCTCCCCTTGTACCCTGCTGCAGGCTTGTTGGCGCAGCCAGAGCAGCTGTCTGGCAGCAGCGCTGGAGCATCTCCTGTGGATGTGCTGTGCTCCAGGGGCGATCGATGCTGGAGTTGACTGGTTAACCAGTGACGGGCCATGTCACCCCATCACTGCCCTGTGCCACCGCACCTGTCCCCAGCCCCCAGCATCTCCCAGCAGAGCTGCCCAGGGGCTTCCAGCCCCCCTGACAAAAGCCTGCTTTGGCCAAGTGCTTGGGAGGGGGCAGACAAAGAGAAATGCTATCGATTCTGGCTCCTGAAGTGCAGCATCAATAATTCAGCGCACAGCAATCGGTCCCGGCTGGGAGGAGGAGGTGTGGGGAAGAGGCGAAAGGCGGGTGAGCCACCTGCGTAGCCCAGCCTCTGATGAGTATTGGATGAAGCTGCAGATTGCTATCAGGAAGATATCTGGTGCCTGCCCAGGGCTGTCCCTGCCTCAGCTGGGTCAGGGTCTGTACATGGGGCAGGCGGGATTGAGGGTGCCTTGGAGAGTCCCTGATACGAGGTGCACTGGCTCCTGCCTTCCCCAGGGGATTAAAGCTGTTGCCCCAGAGCTGAGGATATGGAGGGGGAAGAGGGGCTGGGGAGAGTGCCAAACCCCTCCAGAGTCTGGGAGGAATAGGAATGAGCAGCAGCCAGCCTGGGTGCCACCAGCACCCCAGAGGATGCTATGCAGCAAGCAGCATGTCCAGCTCCTGGCACCTAACGTAGGGTGAGGGTCCCTCCAACCAGGGGAGAAAACTAGCATCCCTGTGGTGTTGGCGAGACTGAAGCCCTGCGTCAGACCCTACTTTCCAGGAATCCCTTTGGCACCAGCATGGAGCCTCAGCTGCAGGAGGGAGCAGCCATTTGGGGCATGATGCCAGAGGTCCTCAGGCTCACGGCACCATCCAGCCCGGTGTGTTTGACAGATCTGAGGGGTCAAGGCAAGCTGGCTGCAGGTGTGGTATATCTTGGAGCATGAACTCCAGCCTGCCATGCTGGGCAGCTGCAGGGGCTAGGGTGCACCAGAGATTTCCCCATGTGCAGTGAGTTTAACCCTTGCCTTTCCTTTTCCAAGGACTGGACAGGGTCTTGTATCTGAATCAGGAGAGAGATGCTCATTCATGGTGAGGGCCTGCAAAGCAGGAGGGCAAGGGGCAGAGATGTATGGTAGCTGTGGCTGGGCTCTGAGTTTGGATCCTAGCATAGCCTTACGCTCTGAGGCATGCTGCAGCTGGGCTGCATCCTTGGGTCTTGGAGAAGAAGGTCTCCCATGGACCCTACATTCACCTCTGGAGCATGTTCCACGTGCTCCACACCCGGAGACATCAGCCCTGGCCATTGCTATGGACATAGGATGGGCTGGACTATTTTGCTCTGCCTGGAGAGGGTGAAGCTGGGGGAGAAGGGGACTTGGTTCTGGGTTCCCCTTGGCTGTGGTTTCTGCTGCCATGGTCAGGGAAGGGCAGCTCTCCCAGCACCAAGCTCCGCAAGGACTGCAGCACCCACAGCACTCACCCCACCAACTCTGCCACTGAGTGGTGTCATGTCCCGCTCAGCCCAGCCAGATGTAATTAGCTTGTTGAATCTTTTCTCCCTCCGGCCTCATGTTAATCACTTTTCACATTGCTTCCCTCCCAGTTCCCCTTGGCCTGGCTTGCCTTTTCTGTTGCTGATGTGCCTGGAGAGGGGAGCAAAGGGACCCGGCTGGACACAGAGCAGAATCCCATTCTGTTGCATCCTGCCCCAAAGACAGGCTCTGAGCTAGTGGATGGAGGTGCAGGGAGATTGCTCAGCCATGGGGAGCTGAGAGAAGATTGCAAGCTGGAGAAAAGACAATAAAGCTAGACAGCAAGGGAGCCTGTTGGGACAGCCCTGCCTTGCAGTCCTGTTCCACTGATGGAAGATCAAACTTTGGAGTCCAAAGGGAGAAGCTGTCTTGGAGCTGGTCTGGGGCTCTCTAGCACAGGGTTGTGTTGGGCTGCAGTTGTGAGAGCTCAGAGGGGTCTCTGTCACCTCTCCCATGCAAGGGGTGGGATTAGACCCCAGGACTGGGCACAGGTGGGTATACAGGTGCCCTGGCCAGGGCTCTGTAGGGTTTTGGTCCCTGGAACACAGCAGGGTGTTCCACACAGTGTCTGTGCTTGGCTGCAGCATCTCCTCCCAGGGATGCAGGTAAATGTCTCATTTGCCTTGGGCATCTGCCCAGGGCCTTGCTGTGCCACTGGAGCAGGGGGTGGCCAAATCAGAAGGAGCTTTTAGGTGAGAGATGTGCAGAGAACTGGACCAAAGACTTTCTAATAACCACTGCTGCCAGGCTTGGGTCTCTATCCTGCTGCCCACAACACAGGGGTTTGGGTAGGTTGCAGGGAACCCTCACCCCAGCTGGCTGCCCCTCCACGTTGGACTCCCTCCAGGCAGCACCCCATGGGGCATGTTCAACTCCAGCAGCAAAAGAGGTACCCAGGGCTGGCAGACCCCAGCAGTGGCTCCTCCTCGTGCTGTGACCTTGCATGTGGCTGTATTTACTTACTGGTACAAAGAGGTGCAGGGGGAAGGAGAAGGGGGTGAAAAGAGAAGAGGGGAGGGTGGCAGCTGTCTGCGGAGGTGGTTGGTGAGCAAGGCTGAGCTCTGAGGCAGGGAGCTCCTTATGCCATGCTGTGGGTGCATGCAAGGTGGGGCGCTGCTGGGGGGCAGATTTGGGATAAGGCAGAGGGGCTGTTCCTGGGCTGGGTAGCATCAATGTCCCAGTGAGAGATGAGCTCACCCCTGTTGGGTGAGAGGAGCAGCCAAGCCTCCTCCATGCACCCATTGGTGACAGTTCTGCACCCCTCTATGGCTCCCAGTGGGGGGGTGCCTGTGCCAGGCTGTGTAGGTGCAGGGGTGAGAGCCCACCTCTAAGTCCCTTGGGCAGCTTTGTGGTCTCCCTCCTCCTCTGCAGCCTGGGTGCCCCGAGAGACCCCAGAGGGTGCTGGGGCGGGAAGAGGGAGGGCCAAGGCAGGTCTCTCCTCCCCTGCCCTCCCCTTTCCTCCCTTGCTGGGTCTGTTGCTCTCAGACCAGCTGCCTGCTGGGGCTGTGTCTGGGGGGATGTCGGTTGCTGGAGTGCTCTGGGACCCGCAGGGGCTGCAAACGGTGGGCATCATTCTGCTGCTCTGCTCCAGCCTCAAGCTACTGCATGCCCTGGGCATCATCGACCTGTCCAGGGGAGGTGGGATGGGAATGGGGATGGGGTTGGGGTTGCAATGGGATGGGATATGGTGGTGGAGTTGCTCCTCGCCTCCTGTCCCCGGGGCTGCGGGGAGGTTGGGGGAGATTTGGAAGGATTGGTGTGTTTTGAGGGTTTTGTATGTGTGTGGGGAGGGCTATTAGGGTGTGAGAGGCTGTCTGGTGGAACTAGGGTGTAAGGAGTTGGGGGACTAAGGATGTTTGAGATTGTTGGGGTGCTCGGGGTGGGGGTGGGGGGAACTTGAGTGCTATGGGGAACCCCTGCACGGGTATGAGGGATGTTGGGGTGCAAATATCTGGAGACACTGGGATGTGGGGTGTTGGAGTGCAGGATGCTAGAAGATTATGGTATCTGGGAGCATTAGGATAGGGAGTATCTGGGTCTGGAAGCATTGGGGTGCTGTAATGTGTGTGGTGCTGAGGGACTGGGACTTTCTGGGGTGTTGGCGTCTGGGGCTTTGGGATGCAGGGGGCTGGGCTTTGTCAGATGATGGGGTGATTAGGGCTGGGGAGGTGACTGGGAGCTGGGGCTAGAAGTGATGGATGTGGTGTATGGCACCATGCAGGGGAAGTTTCTCCCCCATTGCTGAAGGAATTGGCAGCTATGGGGGGAATGTGGCTGAAAGAGCCTGGAGCCCCTGGCCCCTTTGCCCTCCCTGTGGAGCTGTGCCAGGGTTGTGAAGGGAAGGGGCTGCTGTGGGTGCTGAGCATCCTGGATTGGCATATGGGTGCTGAGGACAGGGCTGAATGTGGCCAGACAAGAGGACCCAAAACATGTCAGAGTGATGCACGACCTGTTGGTTGTGTCTGGTGAGAGTGCGAGTGCAGAGAGCTGCACATTGCTGCTGCCTTGTCTCCCTTGACAGCCTTCATTGGCTGGCATGGACATCCTGGCTCAGACAAAGGCTGACAAAAGATTTGGGGTTTGTTTGCCCCTATCCCATCTGGTTGGCACTGGCAGCTGGGGATGCTGCAAGATGAAGGGGCTGCAGATCACATTCCCTTGGGCAGGCAGATCTTGGGATGGGAGCTGTGATGGGATGACATGCCGATAGGAGGGATCCAAAGGACCAGTTAAGTAGCTGATCAGAGGGAGGAGATGAAGGTGCTGTTTCCAGGAGGTGTTTTCAGTCCCCTTGTGATGGAGGATATCCCTGAGCTGCCTGGGATCTGACCGGGATGAGGCATGTCCAGGCTTTTTCCCTGTGTGTTGCTGGTGATGGTATGGATGGCATCTGGGTAATGGGTATGCAGAGCGCCAGCTCTCTTATAGGATACACTTCCTGCAGCCAAGAGGACATGCTGCTAAGCTGGGGCACTTTTGGGGTATTGGTATATATTGGGGCATTTACGGTGTCTCTTCTGGTACCTTAGATGTGCCAGTTCCTGCTGCCAGAGATGTCCCTGCCATAGAGGTGGTGATGGGGACCCTGCAGGATGTGTCCCTGCGCTAAGTTTTTGTAGCAGGGTGATGGCCACGGCTGTTCCAGTCCTGCAGCCTTACTGACTGTGTTTGGAGAGTCCTTGAGCTCCATTGTCCCTTGGCACCTGTATCCCATCCCCTTCACTTTACATTTTGTACTGAGAAATGATTGTTCTGCCAGCATCTCCTTTGGGCACAGCCAGGCTGTCTGGGAGCACTGCCATAGGCTGGGGACGGGGACGGGAATGGGGACAGTGCTGCTGTGACTCCTGCTTTGCTCTATGGCCCCTCCTGGCCCATGCCTCCTTCTCCCTTTGGCTAATGCTAAGCATGAGGGTTGTGCAGCCCCTCTCCTCTCCCTGGCACTGTGGAACACTCTTTCCATGGGTCCTTGCTGCCCCATGAACTGCAGGTCTCACCCAGCAGCTCTGCTGCTCCCAGCGCCTTCAGCCCTGCTGGCTCTGGGTGTCTGGGCTGAGGCTGCTCTGTCCCACCCCCAGGACAGGGACTCACTGTCTGTCCCCTGCCCTGGGAGATGCCAGCTCTGATTTCATTCCCCTAATGGATGACTGTCTGGCCCCTGCAGCTGCTGCAGGCACCTTAGCCCTGGTTATGCTCTGCTCTGTCACCACTGACTAATGAGGGCTGTCTGCAGAGCTGCTGCTGGTGGGACCCATCCTGACCCCCCAGTGCAGCTGGGGGAGCTCCTATCTCCATTGCAGCCTTCATTGCAGGCCCCTGTCAGCTGTGGTCCCCTCACCAGGAGGTGGTGCTGCCTGAGGCCAGGCACTGCAGAGGGGGGGCAGAGCTGGGGGCTGGTGGACCCTGCTCAGAGCTAAGCCCTACACAGGGATGATTGTGAGACACAGGTTTTAGGGGCAGCTGAGCTCAGCATTGCTGCCCAGATGGACCCAGAGCCATGGCCTGGCAGGGGGAGCTTGGTGATGTGCCTTCAGCCTCACACGAAAAGGGGATGCTCTGGAAGTGGATGCAGGCTCCTCTACTGAAAAGAACATGTTCTGGGAACTGCCAATCCCTTCCCCATGCTCCCCTGGCCCTGCCATGCCACTTCTTCTGGCTTACCCCTCTGCCCTAGCTGGGGCTTGTCCTCATGCTTCCCAACCATGCTATCTATCTGAGAAGGCAGAGGGTCCCCTCGCCAAGTGCATTATCCCATGTCATCCCTGCTCCTAGGGCAGGGTGCTTGGTGGATTGTCCCTGAGGTACCAACTCCTGCCCTTCCACCTGACCCAGTGTTGCCCCATGGAGCCAAGCTGCTGATGCAGATTCCATCCTGGAATGTGCTGTGGACAGGCATTCAGCTGGGGACACTAAGGAGGGGTCTTGCTGTGGAATGCACATCTTCCACCCATTGTGGTGATGCATTTATTGAGGAGTTACTGAGAGAGGGAGCGGGGGAGTTTTGGCACTGTTGGTTTGTTATTGTAGGGTCTTTTCTAGCAAGATGATGCTAGAAGGGGTGGGTTGGTCTCCCCAGCCAGCTGTTACTGCAAGGGTGCTGATGGCTGTGGCTCTGTGGGGAAGGGAGGGACATTAGAGCCATATGTATCAGGCTGACCCTGGCTTCTGCTTTTCCTCTGGGGAAACCATGGAGAAGCTCAGGCTTAGGTCCTCCCTGGGAATGGGGATGTCATCCCAGTGTCATGTAACCCCCTGATCCAGCATTGGCTGGATCCAGCCCCCAGGGACACATCCCTTCTCCTTTTGGTGCTGCCCAAAGATGGAGGCTTGGTTTGTGTGTGTGTGCGTTTCAAAGATGCTGGGCTGTGGAGTGACGCATAGGAAATGACAAGCCACTTAACCCAGCAGACCTCCCACTGCAGATAAACCACCGCCAGCCCCTTCTGCTGGCTTGCTTTCTGCCAGCCACCTGATGGCTCTTGCAGAGAGGCAGAGGGGCAGAGCAATGGCTGGAAAAGGAGCTGTTGCTGGCAGGGATAGGGCTTTGTGCTGTGGACATCCAGTGTGCCCAGCAGGGAAGCACACGGCCGGGCTCTGCTCCTGCTTTGGGCAGAGCTGTTTCCCAGCAAGGGGGAGCCCAGGGAGCCTCCAGACATGCTCATGGTTTGGATGCTGGGATCAGAAAGGGGAAGGTGTGTCCTGTCCAGCAGAGCCCTCAAGCGCACTAAAGCCAGGACAGCAAAACCCCAGCCCTGGTCACCCCTCTCCTGTTGTTAAGCTGCATGTGCTGAATGTGCTCCCTCCCTTGCCCCGGGGCCCCTGGAATCAGGCCCTCTTTGGTTTCCTCCTTAAGCAAAAGCCCATGTTCTTTATTTTCTTTTTTCTTTTTTCCTTCTTCATAACAAACTAAAGTGTTACTTGCACCTGACCTGACCTACTGCACGTGCCTATACCTGCTGCCCCTGTGAGTCCAACCACAGTTTACTCTCTGTTGCATCTCTCCCGCTGTGTGGTTTCCCTCCACCCTGCTCCCTCCTCTGGTCCATCACCCTGGCACTGGGTGTTGCTCTGCTCACTCTGTCCCTTTTGCCTGGGTGAAGGGGCTGTTTCTTCCTCCCAGGTCTGTTCCCATAGCTCGGCTCTGCCAGAGGGACCCAGAGCGTCCTTGGAAGGCTGAAAGGTGCAATTTCCCTTTCCCTCTGCGAATTAAAGCCCTAGAAAAGTAGCTGGGTCAAATCATGTTTTAGGCACAACTGATGCCTGCTTCTAGGAAAGGAAAAAGCCTTCTTCCTCACCTGCCTGCAAACCCCAGAGAGACAGGAGCCAGGCTGTGCTGTCCTGCCAGCACCAAGATCCTGGCCCCACCCTTGCCTCTGTCACCCTGTGACAAATGACAAATGCCAGGGGGTGCATTTGTGCATCCCTACATGTTTGCACAGCACTAGCACCCTCCTGTGGATGCCACTTCCCTGGGGACAAGTGGCTTTATGTGATGTCCTGCTCAGACAATGACCTCCTGGAGCTGTTCTCCACTGCCCCAGCTTGCTGCCTTGGTGTGGGCTCAAAGGGTCCCAGGTCCTGCCTGCGGGCACTTGAGGACCAACCTGCTAGCAGGGGCTGCTGGATGCAGATTCACATCCCTATCCTGGAGCTGGGTACCATGCAGCACCATTTCCCCAGCACCGGGGCCTCAGCTCAGCCCCACAAGGCTAAGAAAGCCCCATCTGCTAGCCCCCCTAGAGAAACAACCCCAAAACCAGGATTCAGGATGAAGGCATCTGCTGCTTGCAGATGTCCAGGGCGTTTGGAGCAAACACAATGTCAGCAGAGCCCCCAAGGGACTTTGCACCTTTCGTCCAATTGGTGCCCTATGCTGCTGTCTGCCTCCCTTTGGTGTCTGGAGCCCAGCACGGCCTTCATCCCCCTCCTCTTCTCCTCCTCCCCGCCTGTGGCATTACTCCTGCACTGAGGCTGGCTTGAGGCACTGTGGGGCCCTGTGGGTCTGTGGCTGTGGGGCAGCACTAGCTGGGAAAGATAGGGCTGAGCAAAGCCAGTAGGGTCCAGAGGGGGGAACAGGAGATGGTGGTGGGGTCTGTGCAGTAAGGGGACCTGCTGTTAATGCAGGGACACTTGGAAGCGATGGCCATGGGCCAGGCTAATGTGGGGAGCCCTCTCACCCTGCTCCATAGTCTGGCCGAGGCAAAGCCCTGAGCCCTGTTCCCCTTCTGGCTGTCTTAAAGCAGGTCCCTGGGCTCGGATCCCAGTGCTGTGTTGGGGAGGGGGTGCATGCTGCAGTCAGGCTGCATGGCTGGGTTTGGTGCATGCTTCGTGTTCAGCCTTCGGGTGCCAGCAGGATCAAACTCAGCCCAAGCTTTGGGGAGGATATGATGCCCCGGCTCAGCTGCAGGCTGTTTCTTGGGCTCCATCCTGCCCTGCCTCTCTGCACAGCTCCATGGGGAGGGGAGGGAGCAGGTTTTTTTCATGGAGGCTAATAGGCAGAGTCCAGCCCTGCCATCTCCTGGGTCTCTGGGCTGCTGTGTATCTCCAGTGCACCCCAGCATGCTCCAGTGGTGGGGTGCAGAGGGGCTGGGTGTGGGTGGCCCAGCAAGGTTACCCCTCTGTCATCCCCATGCTTCCCAAGGAGGGAAACTCCAGTGCCGGGTTTGTCCTGGGATGAAGCTGAAAGGCCAAGCAGAGCCTGGGCTGGGCTTTGCTTTCCTGCTCCTCTGGCCTCACGCTGCATGTGCTGCCCCTGCCCTGCTCTCCTGCGCCGGGTGCCCACCCTGCAGCCGCTGGGTCCGGGGCCGTTGCTCTGTTAACTCTTCTGCTTGGTGACTCCTTCTTTCTTCCAGGCAACCCGCCGGGCCAAACTAAAAAAGCGCTGAAGCAGCGATTCCTCAAACTGCTGCCCTGCTGCCGGCCCAAATCCATCCCCTCGCTCAGCGAAAGCAAGTGCTTCTTCTTGCCTTTGTGTGTGTGTGTCCCCAGCGGCGCTGCTGCCTGCCCTTCGCCCTGGCCCTGCCCGAGGGAAGGGGGCACCTCCACCACTGCCCTGCTCTGGGTTTGGGGTTGTCAGGATCAGTCCTGCCCTGGAAGGGTCCTGTCCTTTGGGCTCTGCAACCACCTCTGTCCTCGCCTGTTTCCAGGCTGGTTTTCCCCCATGTCCAGCTCCCCAGAGTGGCTCCCACAGGATGCATGGTGGCAAGACCTGCTTTGGAGCTGACTCGGGGAAGTGGGACCCTCCTGGCACTGTTTTAAAAGCTGGGAGGTTGTTGCTCATTGCTGGTTTGGAGATGGAGGTGTGATGGAGGTGGGCAAAAGGGGCTGAGAAGGGAGTGAGCACAGAGCTGCCCAGAGCCCTCTACCCACTCTGCACTGAGTGTGCTTGGCCCTGCGGTGAGTCTGAGCCCCTGGCCAGGGTCACCCCATGCCCCATGGTGTCAGCTGATCCCCCCTTGGGAGAAGAGGTGAGTATGAAGAGGCAGGAGATGATCCACCTCATGGATGGGGGGTACCTGCTGTGGGGTCACAGTCCCTCTTGGTTGCAGTGGGGCCAGGGGGTGTTGGTTGCTGCAGGCAGGGCTTGTGCAGCTTGCCAGGTGGAGGGCAGAGGCCATCAATGAAGGGGGGGCACAGTGGGCAGGATGGGTACAGACAAGGCTGGGGGGGACTTGGGTATGGGGGGCAGTTCTCCTGCTGGACACAAGTCCAAGTGCAGCACAGACCTGCAGGACATCCATGGTCTCAGCTGCACAGGGCAGATGTCTGTGCTGGGGTGGAAGAGAAGAGCAAGCAAGGGGGTTCTCAGCACTGGGGGGTTTCACACCCCCGTTTTGTATCGGAGGCTGGGGGGCTGCTGCCAAGGGTGTCCTTGGGCAACATGCCTGTTCCAAAGGTGTCCCTGAGTGTTCCCTGCTGGCATAGACACAGCTCCTGCTCCAGAAACACTCCAAAAGCATGTCACCCTGGGTAGCTGAGAGGACGGGGTGCGCTGTGCAAGGTGCCTCTCCTGTTCCCAGCACAGCAGGGCAGGGCAGGATGGTGCTGGCCTCAGCCACCCTCTCTTCCCCTTGGGTTCCTTGCAGACAGCGTTGAGGATGAGTTTGAGCTCTCCACCGTCTGCCACCGCCCCGAGGGGCTGGAGCAGCTCCAGGAGCAGACCAAGTTCACTCGCAAAGAGCTGCAGGTCCTGTACCGAGGCTTCAAGAACGTGAGTACTCCTTGACCAGCTTTGTTAGCCTTGCCTCTGCTGCCATGCCCACCTTGGAGGGTGCTTTGCACCCAGTGGTGTCCAGGGTTTGCAAAGGCTTTTTGGACCTTAGGATTGAAGCTTATCAGGCTATGGCCTGATCCGACCTCCAGGGAGCTCAGCTGGGAGGTCTGATCCTGTGCTCCATGCCTTGGGTGCCTGGAATGCAGAGCCCCTCCAGTGAGGGGTGCAGCACACAAAATTAGGGAGATGCTTCAAGCTGCCTTAGATCCACCTCACCAAGCAGTGCAGAGCTGCGAGGCATGGCAGGGGAGATGCAGGGATTCAAGGGGGATTCAATTCAGCCCCTCTCTGTAACATGGAGGTGATGCTGTGGCTTGCCCTGGCAGGAGTGCCCCAGTGGCATTGTCAATGAAGAAAACTTCAAGCAGATCTACTCACAGTTCTTCCCGCAGGGAGGTGAGTGCCCATCCCTGTCCCCATTGCCATGCCCTGCACGGGTGCCTCCACAGAGCGGGGGTTTACACGGCACCCCCTCACACTGTTTACCTTCCCTCAGACTCCAGCACGTATGCCACCTTCCTCTTCAATGCCTTCGACACTGACCATGACGGCTCCGTCAGCTTTGAGGTGAGCTGTGACCAGGGAGGAGACGGCAGTGGGGCAGGGAGGGCATGTCCCTGGGCAGGGCTGCACAGTGCTGCTGCTGGAGATGGATGAAGGGCTTCACAGGGCCTGGTGGAGTTTATTAAATTCCCAGAGGCAGTGGGGAAGCAGTGAAAAGCAATAAAAAAGGAGCCTTTCTGTATTTCTTGTCTTGTAGGTACCCAGGGTGGCAGGCACAGCCATGGCTGGGTCTTGTTCAGGCTTTGGCTGAACATCAGGTCCTAATGCACATTGTTTTGTTGGGTCCTGGGACCCAAGTGTGGGACATATTTGGGGACATTCAGTTTTCTACAGGCTCTTTTGAATACTCAGTATTTCCCTTGCCAGCCCAGCCCTGGGGCACACTTGCTTTAGGGCTGAGTTCCCCCTCTGCAGGAGGGACAAGCAGGGCTGTGCCCTGTGTCCATGAGACACTTTGTGGATGCAACTGCACGTGTCTGCCTTGTCCATCCTTGCAGGACTTTGTGTCTGGGCTGTCCACCATCCTACGGGGCACCATTGATGATCGCCTGAACTGGGCTTTCAACCTCTACGACCTGAACAAAGATGGCTGCATCACCAAAGAGGTGGGATGAGGGGTCCAGGATAGTCCCTGAGGCCAGGACAAATCTGTCCCTGGAGGGATGAGGGCAGGACTCACGGGCATTAGCTGAGCATTGGAGGAGATCTGGGGGGTGTCAATATTTACTGAGCTCAGCTTTTCAGACAGGTCCCTCCTGGCCCCCTGACACTGGTGTGTCTCTGGGGTGGAGGGTGGATGAGGGCTCTGCTTCTTCCTCCATCACACATGCAAGTATACACATGGCCCCACACTGTGCACAGAGCTGGCAGTAACACTCCTAAGCACCCCACAGGTCCTTTGAGAGCATCATGAAAAAGGTGTGGGTTGGGCACCAGGTGGAGGCAGAGCCCCATGTTGACCTCGCAACCTTGCTCCCCATCCCTCCAGGAAATGCTGGACATCATGAAGTCCATCTATGACATGATGGGCAAATACACCTACCCAGCCATGCGGGAAGAAGCACCCCGGGAGCACGTGGAGAACTTCTTCCAGGTGAGCTGAGTACATTCTGGGGAGGCAGAACTCCAGAGAGAGCCAACAGCTGCCCCAAACCTGGCATGGTGCAGGAGAAAACACCCCACAGTGGGGATGAAGCAAGACTGTGCTGGATCCAGGAACAGAAAAGGCCTTTCTGGTCCTGCTGGGTGCTTGGGGATGGCTGGGGTAGTGGGATGTGGGACTCAAGCAGGGGATGCTGGGCTCTTCGTGGGACTGTCCCTGCCATGCCCCCCGTGCTGTGCTTGTCTGCAGAAAATGGACCGAAACAAGGACGGCGTGGTGACAATCGAGGAGTTCCTGGAGTCCTGCCAGAAGGTAAACCCACCTGCAGCTCTGCTCTGGGGCTGGGCCACCTCACTGTCCCCTGGGGACCTCTGTTCCCTCCATTGCCTTCCTGGCAGAGCAGGCTGAAGGCGGGGCTTCCAGGGGCAAGGCTGGGGCTCTGCTTTGGGAACTGTATCTGTGCCTGCATCTCTGTGCTGATGAGGTGAGTGGGGCTTGGAAACTGCCTGTAATCCCTGAGGCTCTTGTCCCATGGGTCAGAGATGCCATGAGGTTAAAGCCAGGCTTGAGGGAAGCTGCCCGGATTGCTGTTCCACCTGTTTCCTGCATCCTCCCTGCAGGATGAGAACATCATGCGGTCCATGCAGCTCTTTGACAGTGTGATTTAGCTCCCGGACCTGCCTCCAGCTGAGCTCTCCTGCCACTGGGCCCAGAACCTGCTTCTCTCTCGATTTTTCCTTCAAGCCTCCTCTCCACCGGCTGCACAGACACCTCCATGAAAACGGGTCTCCCTTCCCGGAGACACGGTCGGCGCTGGGATGCTCCCTTCCCCCTGGGCTGGCTCTGCTTTCCTTGGGGGATCCCAAGCAGGTGCTTCTGGACATTGGAGCATGGGCATGGCTGACACGGGGTGAGCATTTGGCCTAGATGGACCTCCCTGCACCTGCTCCCAGCAGGGAAACCTCATCCTTTGGCTGTGATAGATTTCCCCCATGCACAGCGTCCCGTGCAGCCACAGCACCCCAGCCCTGACCCTCCTCAGCCCTGGGAGCCCCCAGCACTGGCTCAGCCCAAACCCTCCAGAGGTCTTGCACCAGGTGCCAGCGCCTTGGCTTCCTCCCGTGCCCTGGCTGTGCCCTGCCACAGGAAGCTTGTCTGGCATGTCCACCAGGAGCTGCTGGCCACCCTCATGGGCAAAGGGGCCATGCCTGGACAAGGCAGCTGCACAGGCACTTGGCGTTTATTGCTGCATGAGTTTTAGGGAGCAGCCCCTCACTCTGGAAGGCCCAGTTAGTCCTAGGAGGCTCATCCCGATGTGGAATGAGGAGAGACTAAAGGGACCTCAAGGTGCTTTCTTGTGGCACTCGTCTCCCAGAATGGAGGATGCAGGGCTGGGAGAGCTGCAACCTTAGTTCCTATCCCTCGAGGTTGGGGTGCTGGCACACAGGGAACGTCAGGGATCCACTTCGAGGCTCCAATGGAGAGACACCCTTTCCACCCCTCCCCAGGACACAGCAGCCACGGTATGGGGACACATGGAGGAGGGAGATGTGCTGGCCTCCATCAGCCAGCCTGCCTCTTGGGCCTCACAGCCATGCTCCCAGCACCATTTGCTGCTGACCTTCCCCTGCTCCCGTGTCCTGCTCACCCCAGCCTACCCAGGGTACTGGGTAGTGAGCAGTGGGGCAGAGAGGTGTCCCTACAGGCAAAGCCCTGTGCTGGTGACATGGCTGAGCTGGCAGCTCCTTGGAGACGAAGTCAAAGCTGGGACTGCCTAGGAGTCAGTCCTGTTGCTGTGCTTCCAGAAGGATGGAGGGTCACCTTTAGGCAGGGAAGGCTCATCCCCTTCTCCTGGTGTGGCCACATGAGACCCTGCCTGTGGACCTCACGGATGGATACAGCAGCCTGGGGCTCCTTATGCTTTTGGCACTACCAGCTCCTCAGAGCTGGGTCTGTGCAGGCAGGCCTCAGCTGTAGCTAGGACAGTGATGCCCATGGGATAATGAACCCATGCCAACCCCAAAAGCCCCTCTGCGCAATCCCACAGGCACTGGGAACATATCCAAACTCATCACTCCCTGGCTCTGCTGCTCCAGCCTCTGCGTCCTTTGCAGCCAAAAGCAATCAGGGCTGGCCCCAACTGTGATGTCTGAGATTAAAGGGAAGGGCTGAGCAAAGCCAATACCCATGCTGGGCTGGGCCCTAGACCCAGGCTGAGCCCCTGGTGTTGGAGCTGTCAGAAACCCTAATCTAAGGGCCCTGAGCCAAAGCTATGGGGCTGCTCCCCAGCAGGACTGCCCCTGGCCCAGCCCTTGCAGATATGATGTGTTTTTTAGGTTCATTCAACACATTGCTCATCTCACAGTCCCATTCCTGGGTTTGCCGTGGGGCTGAGTTCCCATGTGCAGTCTCCCACAGGTGGGAGGGCAGGTATCCCAACCCTTACCCCTCACAGCTCCGTCTCCCTGTCCTCCCTCTCTGTGGTACCCACCATCCCTTGCCACATGGAGCAGATGCCGCCACCCCCCTCACGCTGCAGGTCGCATGGCGTGACCCCCCTGCCCTGGGGCATGGTGACCCACAACCCGCTTGGCATCTCCAGTCTGTATATTTTGTATTATAACAATAATATGGTTAAAAAAAAAAAAGAATAAAACCAAACAAAAATACAATAAAATCTAACCACAATCGCTATGCACACCACCGTTATGTCTTTGCATCTGTCAGCTCCCTGGGGACAGTGGGGGAAATAGGGGCTGAGTGCCTCTGCAGAGGGTTAGCAGCCTTTTTAGGGTGCTCTGCACGGGTGCTCTGGGACATTCACTGGGGACAGGGTTTCAAACAGCCTGCCCATGCCATTGACGGCCCTGTAAGTAGAGTCTTGCACATGCTAAAAGGCTGTGAGCTGGAGCTGTCAGGTGTTTTTGCAGCTTGTCATAAGATGCTGCTGGGTGAACTCGAGCTTGGAACCAGGTGGCCCTTGTCAGAATGTGGCATTTAAGGCTGAGCTAACAAGAAGATAGCTACCATGTTGAATAGGTAGGTATGGACTGGACATGGGTTTCTTTTAGGGATGTAAATTGATGGATGATCACTGGTCCTCGGAAAAGTGTAGCCTTGGAAACTGGGAAAATGGACTGAAGCAAAACAAAGAGAAAAAAAGCAGCAGGTAAGTAAGAAAACAGCAGAACAACAGGGTACTGGACTTGATAGGGGACAGTGACACCCTCCAGCATTATGCAGTCTGTGGTGCAGGAACTGAAGGCTCAATGAGAAGAGCTGCCTGGAGTCCGAAGCATTCTTAAAGGATGGGCCCTGGCCATGGGGAGAATTACCACTGTGTGATTGGGAAAGCTGTGAGTCTGCTCTTTCAAAAGCCTCTGACTCCCCAGGGATCTTTCTGACCTGCTAGCTGTGGCACAGGTCTCTGTAAAGCAGGAGGAATGGACCCGAGTCTGTTTCCCCCTGTAACCCACCCTTCCCAGTATATCCTATCCTCTGCTTTCAGAGGGAAAGACCAGTTATGTGGGAAAACAGCTTAGCAACTGGATGAGGCAGCTGATGCAGCCTAGGGCAGTGATTCATTCCAGTATCCTGAATACTGCCTAGAAACACAAACATCTTGGAAAAGGATGAGATCCCAACACTGGGAGAACTGCTACTGCACGAATGTTTTGGCACTATCAAAGCTGTGAGCCTGATGCCTGCTTCAGGGTCCCTTCTGACCTAGCAGCCAACTGCCCAGCTCTGCGTATGGTGGTATTGAGAGTACCGTGTGCTTTCCACGCAAATTCTACGCCTTTCTACTCTCTACCTTTTCTATAAAGCCTTGTTGCATGGCAACACAAGGTAGGTACTACTTAGGGTAGCAGTACAATTTCTATTTTTGCTCTTTGAAAGCTTTCAATTGGACATGATGGCAATTAAGAGACACTCCTTGGCCAGGCTCTTTGCTGAAGCTTCCTGAGCACAGGTACAGGCAGATAGAAACGCAGCCATCTTGGGTTTCTCATCATGCTGAAATATCATCAGTGAAAATAAGCTCAAAGAGCAAGAAACAACTTTCAAAAACACAAGAGGGAGGTTTGAGGAGAGCTGAGTGTGCTGGGTAAGGGTGAACGGTGTCCAAATCAGGAGCGGGGGTAATTTTAATTGGGTTTCATTCATTCTGTTCTGTCTCGCCTAAAACATGACATGGCTGCCATGATGTCTGCAGCCTTCCTCCAGCCCCTCCTCACAACTGAGGTTTCCAGCAGCTTTTTGCTCACTGGTTTCTAATTGCTGGTACCTGCTGTGGCCTCCCCAGTGCTAGGTGCGCTGGAAGGGCTACGCTGCTGATCTCTCTATGCAGCCTCAGGGAATGTGGCCTTTTCAGCCCTGTGGTCTCTGAGTCATGCTCTGGGTCCCAGTCCCCCACGCTTCCACACGGCTGGAGCTTCTCCCTGAACACATGTCGCCTCAGGCCCCTGCTCTGAATTACTGAGCTGCTCCCAGCTTCAAAGCCCATCCTCATAGCTCCTTCTAGGCATGCAAACACCGGCAAAAGTAACATCACCCCTGAGCGCAGGGTAAGAACAGCTTCAAAGGCTTTTCCCTCTGCAGCCCCACAGCTCGGTATCCTATCCACCCCGAACAACGATTAGCGTATGGGCCGCCGCCACGACCGGGCCCCTGCTCAGGGGAACCTACGCAAAAGCGCATGCGCAGCGCCGAAGTAAACACTTCACATCCCACCAGCCTCCCCCCACCGGCGCCGCTTCCCTACACAAACCCCACAGCGCATGCGCGCACCCCCCACCGCGCACCTGCGCGTTCTCCTAACTGCAGCCTCCCCGCCGTGCCCGGGGCCCCATCCTTTCGCGCATGCGCCGTGGGAATGCGCTAGCTCCTTGCGCAGGCGCCCTGGGCAGCCGCAGCCTCGCCCCTCCCGCCGCTGCGCTCCCGAGCAGGCGCAGTGTGCGTCCTCCGCGCTCAGCGCATGCGCCGTGAGCGCCGCCTCCCGTCACCCCCGCCCACCCGATTGCTGAGGTAACTCCCTCTTCTCAGTCTGTTGTTCCCGCTCTGGCGAAGAGGAGCCGTCAGCGCGGCGGGTGGCAGGTGGACTCCGGTAGGCTGCGGTGGCCCGTGTCGTCCCTGCCTGCGGTTGGTACAAGCTCCCCCGGTCCCCGCGGCGGTCTCTCTGCGCAACTCGCAGCGAGGGGGCTGCAGGCAGGGCGGTGCGGACCGGTTGCGGCCGGTTCCCTGCGCAGGCGCAGGGCTCCGTAAACAGGAAGCTGCGGCGGCCCGCAGCGGCGGAGACAAAGGGGTTGTGGAGAGGGGAAAGAAAAGGATCGGGGTGGCTCGGCTCGGCCCGGCCCAGCGAGTGGGGGTCCTGGCGGCGGGCGGCAGGATGGTGCAGAAGGAGGGGCAGGCGGCGCTTGAGGAGCCCCAAGGTAGCCCCAACCCAGCTGGCGTGCCCGGCGCTCCCTTAGAACCGCCGGGCGCCGCCGCAGGCCCGGTGCCGGGGGGTGAAGAGACTGACACCGAGACGGAGACCGCGCTAGGCTCCCGCCGCTTCCTCTGCGGCGTCGTGGAAGGTAAGAGCTCTCGGAGGGGGGCCCGATATCCCCGGGGCATGGGAGGTGTTTGGCGATGGGGGTGGGAGTCGGTGTCCGTGGGAGGCCTGGTCCCAGGTGGCGCTGCTGCTCCCGGCTCCTCCCCCGCCTCGCTGCGGCGCCCAGAGGAGCCCGCTCTTCGAGGAGGGTGGTGCGGGGTGCTTGGCCGCAGCTCCCTCCGCTAGAGAGGAGAGGCTGCGGGGGGGGGAGGAGCCGCGGCTCCCGGGCGGGGCTTCTGCCTCTAGGTCTGGTGGTGGAAGCCGCTCGCTAGCGGGGAGTGCCCTTTGATGGCAGCTGCTCGGCCGGGTGAGGGCACGCCTGGCACCCCTGGTGGCTCGACGGTACCTAATGGAGGCTGAAGCAGTGCTGTGGCTCGCTTGCTAGTGCGTGTCTAAAGAGAGAGGTGGGAGGGAGAGAGGAGAGCTGCTGTGCGGTTGCCCAGCTGTACATGCTCTTGCTCTGCGCCAGAGGCTCAGATTCAGTTTGCTGGGTAGGGGATCGGTGATTCCATAGTTCTGGATTTAATATTAAATGCTTCTTAATCTCGGAAGTGTTGTAGTTTACCATTTGAATTGCGCTGTAGAACAGTAATCTGTCTTTTGGTGTTGATGCACCATTAAAAGGTTTAAGTTGTTGCAGAATAAAGGGACTCTTTGCATTTCTCGATAACTGCAGGATTTATCTGCATTTATGACAGGCCAGTTAAAGCAGATGGTTGAATGCCAGCAAGAAAAATGGTTTATTCCCAACATAATAGATAGTTCAGAATTGTTATAAATTCCTGTGGACTACTATTATATCTGCACCTATAATGAATCTCCGGTAGGAGAGCAAAATGATTAACAGAATATAGAGGGTAGTACGCAGTTTATCAAAGTCAGTATCTGCACTGCTTTCAGAATGCCTTTTGTTCATGCCGTAGAAAACTCCATTTGGCTTCTGCAAATGTCATTGTGCTGAGTGGAGTAAAGTCTTTATTTTGAGCACTTGCTAGACCTTAAATCCAGTCAACATAGAGATGCCTTTGTTAATAGAATTGTGTGAAGATAGATGCTAAAATGAAGGCTTTGGAGACAGCTAACGGTGAACAGAAATACAGATTGTAACAGCATGCTTCCTCGTGCTGCTGATACATCTTGACCATAGATCATCTGTTCATCAGGTTTATATCAGAACCGCTGCCTATACCATAATAATTTTTCTTGTCGTCTTAGTTACAGTATAACTGGGATGATGTATTTGGCATGATCTGTTGCCTCTGTGTTAACCTGACACAGTCTTGAGGGAGTAGAATGAAACCAGGTTGATTTTTAGTTGGACAGAAAACAAGCTCCAAGATTTGTCATCAGCTGATGACATTGGCAATTAAGAAATGGGACAGATAGAAAAGTGTCACCTCAGATTAGCATGTTTTCTTCAGTCTTATTTAATTTGGTTTTGTTATCTGATTATCACAGCAGCCTTCCAGTATCTGAACGGTTCTGTAAGGATGCTGGAGAGGGACTCTTCGTCAGGGACTGTAGCGATAGGACAACGGGAAATTGATTTAAATGTCAACAGAGGAAGTTCAGGTTAGATATAGGGAAGAATTTCTTTACTGTGAGGGTGGTGAGGCACTGGAGCAGGTTGCCGAAAGAAATGATAAATGCTCTATCCCTGTCAGTGTTGAAGGCCAGGTTGGACAGAGCCTTAGGCAGCATGGTCTAGGGTGCGGTGTCCCTGCCCATGGCAGGGGAGTTGGAACTAGATGATGTTAAGGTTCTTTCCAGCCCAAACGATTCTGTGATTCTATGATTATTTTCTTTTTTCTTTTTTTCTTTTTTAGTAGGGCCCTGCTCAGCTTTAGGCTCCTAGGTTTGAAACATGGTATCATAGGTAAAGCGTAAGTGTTCTGAACCAGTCATGAGACATAGGTGGTATTTATTAGGTATCACAGTATTTCATTCCTTTTCTGGGTTCTTGAGCTTCTCAGGGCAGCATCGATCAGAACTGGGGAGGCCTGGTGAAAATGAGACATTTGTTCTGCGTGAAATAAGATGGAAGGTTTTTGTGCCTGCTCTCGTTTGCTCTTCTGCTGGACTGTCCTCCGTTTGTCACTTTGCAGTTATGCGAGTAGTAGTTACGCAGCTTTGCCACTTCGTGGTGCCAGTTAGTCTAAGATCACTCATTGAGAGATTAATTCTTAATCCTCTTTTAAGCTTCTTAAAAGAGCATTGCTCACTTAATAGGTAACTGAAACAGATGTTAATATATAGAAGATGCTTCAGTTGCATCAGTTTTGAATTTTGAAAGGTTGTAGGAGGGTGATTTTGACCTCCACAAGACCAAATATTTACAGATTTACAATGGTGGAAAGCTCTGGAAATGAAGATGGAGTCTGCCTTTTGAACTGGTGTTCTGCAGGGACTTGCGAGCTTTGTGTATTAGCAGCATCATTCATCACTGATTGGCTGTGTTGTTTGAAAATAAAAACTTACTAAATTTCAGTGTTATTTTAGTCTCTGGTCTTTGCACAGCCTGCCAAGCTGAAACTGTTTTGAAGTGCCCACTTGTGGTTGAACTGTTTGCATATAGGTCTAATTGACTGAGAGTGCTTTTAAAGTATTATGTTTCTAGAATGGATTAGATTTAAAACCAGAAGTAGTTATGGTTTCCATGGAATCGCATGCTTTGATTATGCACTGTTATAAAATTACTTGTGGAGATGCTTTTATATGATTATTCAAGGACATAGTCTTAGCTTGTAAAGATGTGGGAATTGAAGATATCAACTTGCAAGTTAATTTTGACAGGAGCCTGTTAAGATGAATAAAAGGAATGAGATCCTAAGCATTCTCCTGACTCACTTGCACATTTTTTAAATTGCACAATATTGCTCAGTATGCATTTATATACTCTGTGTGTATTTAGCATTCTAATCTGTACCATCAGTTAAGCATTTTTGAGCTGGTAAATATTTTCAAGTGTCTTCATGCTCATATTACAGTCAAATCTATTTTGTAGGTGTCTGGAGTGACAGTTTAATTAGGTTCTGGCTGTTCAGTCTGTTTCTAAAATAATGCTGACTTGACTCATCAAGGGCATATGCTCAGGAGTACAGTTTGGATTCTGAAAATTAATTGCTTCAATGGCCAAAATTGTAAGACTTTAGATCATAAGAAATGGAACAAGTTATAATTGCATTTTAAATTTAGATCAGTTTGGGTTATTACACTTTGCTAATGCTGCTTAACTAGATTGCTTTTTCCTGTTTTGGGAAGCTTTTTGCTGAATGTAGCAGAAGAAAAAAAATGGTGTGTTTGTAATATAAAGTTTCATGGAGCACAGGCATAAGCTAACTGGATAATGTAAATCTTGTTTCCCATAGGATTTTATGGAAGACCTTGGGTTATGGAGCAGAGGAAAGAACTTTTTAGAAGGCAAGTCATGCTTCCTCTTACTGCAGCACATTCCATCACAATATGATCATAATCTTCCACTTAAGCCTGGAAAGAATTACTGTGCTAAATTAGAAGAACTTTTGCCGAATATCTACATTACTGGGGGCTCGTATTCACCTTTCCATCCTGCCTAAAATGAATTCGTCTAATACCAGTTGTGCATAAAGTTATTGTAACTTAATAGTATAGGAACAGTGATCAATGAAGAAAACATAAATTAGATCAGGTAAAAAAATTAGATCAAGTAAACCATAGAATTCCTGAATTTGTAGGCTAGTTTCCCATGAAGGCTTTCTTCCTGTGTTCACAGACTTCAGAAGTGGGGACTAAATACATACCTGTATGCTCCAAAGGATGATTATAAGCACAGGATGTTCTGGCGAGAAATGTACTCTGTGGAGGAAGCAGGTAATTGCCTTTATTTGCCTCTGTGTTTTCTATAAGTAGACCTCTGAATGAATTGGTCATTGCTAAGTGTGCTGCTTATGTCTGTTTAATCTCGGTAGCCTTTTCCAAA